GTGCAGTAATTATTCAATACTTATTCTGTCTAACCAGTATCTTGATATACCACACTTGCATATACATCTATATTTATTATGAATAGAAATGAAATAATCTTATTTAAAAACAACATGTATTACCAATGATGTCAACACAGATGTTGTTCGATTTGTCACTCCCAAGGCTATTTTTGACCTCACAGTAATAGGCTTCTCGCTCAGTAACACTGAAGCTGAAAGTCTTCGTTGAAGAGACTTTAATGGGTCCATGTCCGATGTTCTTGAACCAGGCAAAGCTGGGTGAAGGTTGGGCTCTGGTGGAGCAGCTCAGCACCACCCCGGTACCTGGTGACACCAAACCTGATGGACTGATGGATGCAAAGGTCTCTTGAGGAGCAACTGAGGAAAATAACATGACATATTTACTTCATACGGTAGGTTAGTAAAAATTTTACTTGAAAGATAATTCAAAGAGCTTTTAATCAACATCATTATCATGTAAGTTAGACATTAAGGCTGTAGCAGTGCTTTAAAATCTAAATTATTGTATAACTTGTTTTCCCTTCAGTTTACATTAAAACTTGTGAAAAATTGTGACTCAAAATCTCCAAATTCTGTAATTTTTTTAATTGCCATGAAACATTCAAAACAAGCCTAAATAGATGTCATTAAATTGACCCATAATAGTTATTTTAATAACTCAAAAAGTTTTGTTTTCCACTTTAACAGAGAATATTTTGCATGGGAAAAAACAAGGTATTGAAATTACACAATTTTGCAAACATCATAGTTCAATCCTAAATTAATTTATGTAAATTAGTTCCTTGCAAAGACTTAACTTAGCATTTTCAGAGAGAGCTTACAAAGACGAGCCGGCTCTTTCGACTCCCAAACTTTCGACTCCCAAAATCACCTGCAGCTCTACATAGTCATATAACTTGGCAAACAGGAATGTTTTATATGACAAATGTTTTAAATGACAAATGAAATTTGTCATTTTGTATGACTAATGTTTTAAATGGTAAATGACAGTTTTCCCGGTATAAGAAGCCTTACACTTCCTTAATTTTATGTAATTGTTCTGCTATGAAAGCAGACATTCTAACTTCTGCATAAAATTTAATTAAACTTTCAATTGAAAAAAGAAAAAAACAAAACAAATTAACAAAATACTGCAGAGAAATTTACCAAACAGACCCATAACAATAATGTATTATCACAAAATATCTTTAATCTTCAGCCAGATGCTGCTTTGCTTACAGTTATCAGTTATTAAGAACCCCTCTCAGTGAGGAGTCGGCTCCAATCATACACCTAAAAGAGCCGACTCCAAGAGCTGAAATACTCGCAACCGACCCATCACTAGTAGATGAGAATACAGATGACAATCATGGCATTTATAAGTAGTTTCTGACAAAGATGATCTCCCCACTCATACTGTAGGCCTGCCGTCTATGATTATATAAGATGCACACCCAGCTAGATGTTTGTTGTGTTGCCTAGGTTTAAATGTTACAACCTGTTTTACTGTGAGTTGATCAAGTAAATGGAATAAACATGAACTATGTGGTGCTGATAGGATCACTTACATGAAACACTGAGAGTCTTTATTGCAACTGCCTGTTTGAATCCTCCTTTCACAGGATATTTGGCATAACATTTGATGCCGAATCCATTATGTGTGTCTAACAGAGTGATGGTCTCCTGGAATTTAGTTGTAAAGGCTCCATCAGTTTTTTTCTCTATTTGTGTGACAGAGTCTTTTTTTATATTCCAGGTGAGTTCAGGAGGTGAGTGTGAACAGGGAGTATAAGCTGAGCAGGTTACAGTGATAGACTGATGCTCCTTCAGATCACTTCCAGAAACAACAATGCTGGGACTCTTAGGAGAATCTGTGGTTTCGAAACAGACATGTCATTAAATGAAACATGACACAAAGTACAGTCTGCATTACTTGGACATTATGCCTACAATTATAACTCAATTTTACTCATCAACAAGCTTTTAATTCCATGAAACATTGCCTTTATTGACCCTTCACTTATTGACCTTTGCCCATTCTGCCATGACGGAAGCTTTAAATGTGCTCCTTTAAAGCTAGTCTACAAACAGACATCTGTAGCCTTATATCACTTCTATTTAGTTGATTTGACTGTGGAGTATGCTGTGTGGTCGGCTGCACAAACAGGTAAGGATCCAAAGCAAACTTGTCATTTTATCTTATAACTTGTATTGAAGAAAGATACGGTACATCAGCCGTCAATCATAATGACTGTCAACCCTCAATGTAACCGTGGATTTGCAAGGAACACGTTTTACAAGGTGAAAAGACTATGGAGACAATGCTGCGCCGTCATGTAGCCTAACACATAGCCCAGTGGTTCCCAAACACTTTCTTGACCCCCCATTGTGGATTACAATAGGGTCTGTGGCCTTCTATTGAAACGATGTGTGTGACCAGGGCTGGTGGGATTTGAGAGACTCTCTAATTTTGACTGGGGAGCTAGAGAGACTCTTAGAGATTCCCTGTTATACTGCTGTGACATTCGGATGATAGGGTCAGAATTTGTCTTCAACAACATGACAGCATGGATCTATCTTTCCATGTATCAACGGTTCAGGCTGCTGGTGGTGGTGTAATGGTGTGGAGGAGATTTTCCTGGTACACTTTGGGCCCATTAGTACCAATTGAGCATCGTGTCAAGTTATGCCACAGCCTATTTGAGTAATGTTGCTGACCATGACCACAGTGTACAGATCTTCTGATGGCTACTTCCAGCAGGATAATGTTCATAAAGCGTGAGTCATCTCACACTGGTTTCTTGAACATGACAATGAGTTCATTGAACTCGAATGGCCTCCACAGTCACCTTCTCCTCTGCCCTCTGTAATAAACTGTTCCGCCATGTTTAGAACTACAGTCTTTTGTAGTCCAAACCAGCAGCTCTGCATGAAATGGATGAGCTCAATCCTGACTGGGGTCCAGCGCTGAATATGGGTCACTGCGAGGTAAACGCCACAACATCGGACCGACATGGGCAATTAAAGAGGCGATACAGCAAAACCATCAACAAGTGGGGGAGCAAATTACAGAGACTGTTTTCATTATTTACCCCAGAAGAGGTAAATAATGAAAACAGAGTAGCGGAGGCAACAGAAGAGGAGCAAGTTGGAGAGGCTGAGGAGGAAACCCCAGAAGAGGAGCTCAGCAAGGCTACAGACTCTGAAGAGGAACAGGAACCATTTGTGTTGCAATATGTATACAGTTGGAAGTGGCTGTTTTCTCTCACAGGG